GCCTGGGTGAACATCAGTGGCTGAGGATCTAGGTTCATTAACTTTTCCCTTTCCATTATGGGGTACATTTCAGCAGGCGAGTACAATGTGCTCTTGATAAATCTGGAGTAGTTTGCCCCAAACCGTGGCTTCTTCACCCAAAGTTCCTGGATGGCTTTATTTGCGATCTTTTTTTCTATTGGAACACTCCATCTTTGTGGCAGGCTAGTGCAGGTAAGATCATCAGGTATTGACTTCAGACCAAGTTGCTTGCAGTGGGATATATAAAAAAGCAATCCAATGACATGATGGCAGAATCCTCCTGTGCCAGCAACACAGGAACATCTACCTTTTATTGCTTTTAGTAGTAGCAAGGTTGATATCTGATTCCAGTGTGTGAGGTGCCTCTGACTTTTTCATGGACCTGTAGCATCTGCATGTCACTTTTGCAATATTTGGAGAGTAAGCCACTAGAAAACAATAAAGAACAATAAGCCACTAGAAAACAATAAAAAACAATAAAGAACAATAGGGCTTACAGTATTATGCGAATAGTTTTGAAAAGTACCTAGACGTCAGCCAGCACGAAACATCTAATAAAAGTCAATCGAAAATTACCTTTGACTTCGTGCAGATAGCCAGGCTCAGCGAAGAACTTATAGGCTTTAGAAGTGTTGTCACAGCCAGATTCCTTTTTAGAATACGCCTCTATTTCCCTAAAAGTGATCAGAGGAATGCCTGACAGATCACTAGATGCCACTACGAAAAAGAAAAMTTCATTTCAATGAGTCATGGTATGTTCCAACAAGAGCAATGGCGATCTCAACTACACAAGCACAAGAGGTAGTTTGTTCGAACTTAAAATGGCTTAAACTCGGCGATGCCGCCTAGCAAAACCATAGTTAAGAGTCCGAAAAGAAACTCGGATGATATAGTTGTAAGTATTTCTATGAAATAATCAATATTAGTTTCTAAAATAACAGAAAACTCCGCCATTTTCACGTGCGTCTCACCCTCGACGCTTCGTCTTCAAGTCGCTAAAAAACCTTCTGTTTTTGATTTGAAACGTTTAAAACACGTTCACAAGAGAGAAAAATATCTGAACAAAGTACTTCTGGAAAATCAACGGCTTTGAGAAAGAATAAAAGGATAAAACAGACACTATAGTTCTGGAAAGGTCACGCTCCGCTACTTAAACTCTTGTTGTTGTCAAGGAATGTCTGGAAAGCTTGCCCGCCAGAGGCTTGTTGCYATGGGGGAATTTGACACGTGATCTATTGTTRCAAAAGGCCTATTACACGAGCATGGCGGTAGTGACGTCATGTGTAATAACAAACACGTTATATAACTGTTTTCTTGTTGATATAACTAGACGAGACTTGCTTAAATAGGATAAAAAAATACACAGTTTTAAATTGCCGACATGCCTCGCGCGCGTAACGTTGTTCAAAACATCACCTTCAACCCCCATTACTCGACTGAAGACCGGACCAAAGATGAGTACGTCAACATGAAACCAATCCCAAGGGCAAGCCATACTAACATAGCATACGAAGGATATGTGGACGATACTAGATGGCATCACCACCATTACGAAGATCCTTCTACTTTGACTAACAAAGACGTGCTCGCAATTTCTTCCCATCGCAGAAGGAATAACGASCTTTACGAGCCTACAGGTCCATTGCACTCCAGAAAACTGTTCCTGGGGTCGTTAGATTCTTCGAATGATAGTCGCCCGGTAAAGAATGGTAAAGATTCCTGTTTGAGTAATTTGGTGCTGTTCTTGATTCTCGTCGTATCTGTCACTGCTCTTGTACTCGTGGTGCTGCTGATCATGGGGTTTATTGGGTCTACATTTTCATGTATGGGACAAGGTGAGTTTTCAATGATATCAAACCCTGAAACAACCTCTGGGCTGATCTAAGTCAGGGCACGGCTAACTCACAGATCAAACACTGAAACAACCTCTGGGCTGATCTAAGTCAGGGCACGGCTAACTCACAGACAGATCCCTGAAACAACCTCTGGGCTGATCTAAGTCAGGGTATGGCTAACTCACAGATTGAACCCTGAAACACCCTGTGTGCTGTTCATATCAAAGTCAGGATATGGGCCAATTCACAGATTAATTTGGAATTCAGCTTGTTAGGTTTTGTAGATGKCAGAAAATCGAAAAATCGAAAAAAAAAACAAAAAACACTTGAACTGAATCAAGGGAGAAAACCCATTTTGTGAGTGACAGAAAGGTGATTAGATAGATATTCATTATATATCCCTGTACCAGGTTCGTGTAGTTTTGGAATCCTAAATCTCCAAGGATCAGAGGGACACAGAATTTCTCTTAGTTATGGTTATAAACCTATTGTTATCAGGTCTTTGTTCGCTTTTGATGTTGAACCGGTCTTGAGAGTGCACAATGTTTTATTTATGCTCATCCGAAATTGCAAAATAAGTAATGATAAACTTTGTCTATGGGATTATTGTAAGGAATA